GTCATAAACAGCAGCCCAGTCATAGCACCTGGAGAGACTTTTATGACTCTGCTAGTTGGTGCTTACGAATATCTGTTTTATCAAATAGGAGATTGTTACCTGGTTGGATCCAGTTAACATCTCTCTCGCCCGCCTCGGCCTCCCAAGAGCTAGGATTACAGGCGTGAGCCACAGCGCTCGGCCTATACAGATAATTTTTAAAATGTATTTTTAGAGATTCCCTTTAAAAATATTCTCAGGGCTGTAATAACCAAATATACCATTTTGGTGGAAGTTTTACTTCAAAGTTTACTTTGAAAAAAAGTTAAAAAAAAATTAAAAAATGTTTACTTTGTGTTCTCAAAATAATTTATATTACCTATTTAATTTTTTATTGCCATCTACACCTTATATTTCTACCAACATGTGAAGGGTTATTATATTGAAAAGTGAAATCAAGGGCTGGGCGTGGTGGCTCACACCTGTAATCCTAGCATTCTGGGAGGGTGAGGCGGGTGGATTGTTTGAGCTCAGGAGTTCGGGACCAGCCTGAGCAAGAGTGAGACCCCCCCCAATCTCTACTAAAAAGAATAGGCTGATATCTTTCAGTGTCTGGTTAGTTAAATTCAATGGCCATAATGTCCTGTGTTATGGTGGTTGTCAGGATAATTTCCTGTCTCATTCCTGGAAGAAACCTGGCTTTGTGTCTGTTCCTGCATACATATGCAGTGGTTCTGGAGTACCTGTTGGTGCAAGCAGGAATGCTTTGCTCCTGACTAGCAAAACAGTGGATGTACAGACTAACCATTAAGACTATGTCATAGGCCGGCATGGTGGCTCAGGCCTGTAATCCTAGCACTTTGGGAGCCGAGGCAGGCGGATTGCTCAAGGTCAGGAGTCAAAACCAGCCTGAGCAAGATCAAGACCCTGTCTCTACTAAAAATAGAAAGAAATTAATTGACCAACTAAAATATATAGAGAAAAAATTAACCGGCATGGTGGCGCATGCCTGCAGTCCCACCTACTCGGAGGCTGAGGCAGTAGGATCGTTGAGCCCAGGAGATTGAGGTTGCTGTGAGCCTAGGCTGATGCCACAGCACTCACTCTAGCCTGGGCAACTAAGTGAGACACTGTCTCAAAAAAAAAAAAGACTATGTCATAAACAGCAGCCCCAGTCATAGCACCTGGAGAGACTTTTATGACTCTGCTAGTTGGTGCTTACGGAATATCTGTTGTTATCAAATAGGAGATTGTTACCTGGTTGGATCCAGTTAACACAATTAATAAAAGTGATAATAATAATATAGTAACGGTAGGTGATACTTATTAAGCAGTGACTGTGATTCAAGTACTCTTATGAGCACTTTACAAGAATTGACTCATTTTTCACAACAGTTGTACAACTGATTACTTACAGGTCACAGTTGGGTTACTATTTTTAGCCTCACATTAATGAAATGGAAACTGAATCACAGAGGATTGAATAACCTTGTTGAGCACCTGTGCCAGGTGCTTTACTTACATCAATTCTCTCTTAATTTTACGACAACTGTCAAGGTAGGGGATCATCCCATTTTTTAAATGTAGAAAACAACTCAAAGAGGTTAAATAGCTTGCCCAAATCACACAGCTGGGACGTGTGGAACTGGAGTCCAGCCTGATTCTCTGATTGTAAACTCGTTTCTCTTCTACATCAGTTCAGAGTCACGTGGGACATGTGATAAACTTGCAGAATCAGATTTTAAAAAGTTTCCAAGTATCTCCAATGCACACTTATTTCATCTTGTTCCTTAGTTTATAACTGAGACATCTGATTGGAGATGAGCCTATTACCTCACTAGCTTTAAAAATGGGATTCAGAGTAATAAAATGGAACCATTTGCTTGTCTTAATGAGTTTGTTTTTATTCTTCTGTCCAAGTGAGCTTCCCTCCAGGAATGAACCCCCGCTTTGCTTGTGTGTTTCAGGATGAAGGAGGAGAGCTGTTTGACAAGGTGTGGGGAATAAACGCCTGAAAGAAGCTACCTGCAAGCTCTATTTTTACCAGATGCTCTTGGCTGTGCAGGTAAGAGAAGCTCTCAATTTTTTGACAATCTACTTTCTTTTAGGTGTTTACTAGGCAGAAACTGAGGGACTGGATTAAAACTCAGAAGAGAACCCATGTGTTGTTCTGTCTTGGCAAAACATCCTACCCCTTTGACTCGGATGATAAACTCTCAGGTGAAGTTTAAGGAGACAGTAGGAAAGGGAATTAAAGAGATGAATACTCGTTCCTATGTCTCCTCTCTTTAGCTTGGAGGTATTTCTGGGAGGGACTTCTAGTCTGCTTAGTTGTCTAGGGGTTGCTCGGTGCTTGCAGAAATCCTGCTTAACTCCCGAGTGGGAACTGGCGAGGTATAAGGGGAAGGCTGGCAAGTTGGGGTCATTATGACAGATGGGTTGCTCCCCTATAGCTTAGTACTAGGTGTTCTTTGAGGTGCAATGCAACATCTTGCTAACTGCGGCGAGCAGGTCAAGGAAGGTCAAGTGGGACATGTATGTAGCTTTCTATATTCAATGAAAGTGTTGGGATGGAGGAATAGCTGGTGGACTTTGCTTTGAGGAACATCACATTTCTCAGACCAAATTTGGTTGCGACCATTTCCTGCCAAGGTTTCTTCTCTTGAAAACCCACTCCATTTGGGAAATGCAGCCACAGGGAGCGATTCTTGTATTTGAGTGAGGATTGAGAGAGGTTTGTCTATGGTTGATCACCTGGGTGTGAAACCCTGGAGGTGTTCACCAGATCCATTTCTCAGTGGAAATTTTTGGGAAGAATTTCTGCTGTAGCCCAGAGGGACATCCAGAGAGGGTTGAAGCCCTTGAACATAAGTCCTTTTTAATGGTGGCTGTCCCTACTCGTGTTCTACCTCGCTTATTGGTTTATTCCCTACTTATAGTGACAAGAATATTAAGATAAATTGATGCAGATCAGTGGTATGGGAAATTTATTTCCTAAATGAAATATGACATACACATAGCGTTACAGTAATAGGGTATTGCAGGTGGGAGGGGAAGACGTATATACATATATAATGGAAGATGAGTATGTGCACATCTGGGATGTATGCTGGAGACTCAGATGCTGTAGGGTGAGGAAGAAATGCATTTATTAAAACCTTAAATCTACTCCCTAATATGCTGAAAAAAAAAAAAAACAAAATTAATGAGTGTAATAGGTAAGCAGCATTTGCTCAGCAAGGTAGCCCAGTATCAATGTGTTGCACAATGTTTGCACAACTCTACATACATGTATACTTATTTATCTTGTTTTTTAAAAATGCAAAAAGAAAATATGACAGTAGTATGGTGTTCTTCTGTTCACTTTTATGGTACTAGACAATAGAGTTCTCAAAAGATTAAGTTTTTACATAAGTTAACTTTGAATATTTAAACAGCAAAAAAAAAAAAGAAAAAAATATATTTGATGCATGTAAAATAACACATGATAAATGTAAATTACAAAGCAACCCAATAAAATGAACAAACACCTTTGAACTCCCCATTCAACTTAAGGATGAAAACCTGACTATATGATTGAAGCTACCTGTGTACAGTTTCTCCATCCTACCCTTCTTTCCCCAGAGGTAGCCCCATTCTCTTGAATGCTATGTGTAGTAGCATATCGCTTACTTTTTAAAAAGCTACATATCTATGTATCCCCAAGTAATATATTGTTTTATTTCTTGTTTCTGAGCCTTATAAAAATGGCACAGGTTGAGTATCCGTTATCCAAAATGCTTAGGACCAGAAGGTTTTGGATTTTTAGGGAATTTGGAATATTTGCATTATGCTTACTGTTTGAACATTCCAGATCCAAAGATCTGAAATCCAAATTGCTCCAATGAGCATTTCCTTTGATTGTCATGTCAGTGCTCAAAAAGATTCTGAATTTGGATTTTCGAATTTAGGGTGCTCATACTCTTTGAAGTCTTTGCAATTTCTACTCTCAGCATTATGCTTCCAAGATCTGTCCATGGTGGGGATGTACTGGGGTGTTCATTCATCACTGTATAACAGTTCATTGTGGGATTGTCCTCCAGTGGAGGAGCTTAGAGTATTGGATATGATGAAATTTCCTTTGTAGGAAGATCATTCTGGCTAGTTTTACCACCTTTTAAAATCTAAAAATCAATAAATTTTGTAGCTCTCTTCTCTTTAATTCTGATATAACTACAGTCCTCCTCTGTGCTGGGGTGTTTGTCCCTGATGGATACTCAACCAAATCTTTTACTTAGCCCCACCACTAAGCTTGATTGTCTGTGCTTTGATTGTAAAAACTACAGGTGTACTTTTAAGTATGAAATCATGATATTAAATCGTCATTGTGAAGTGTGTAATACTGTTTAATGTTCTTTTTGTGCACCCTGCAGTGATAAGTGGTCACAAAATGTCAGCCATAGCGGGGTGTGGGTGTGTCTCTCTCTCCCCCACCTCCACCTAGGTGTGCTTTAGAGTTCTTATAAAGTTAGATTTTCCTTCTTCCTTTGAAAAACGGTAGGATCTTGTGGGGTCCAGTTCCCCTGAGGTTCCAGTTGCCTGGAGCTAAGTAACCCTTGCTGACTGGCAACATCGCAGGGCTCCCCACCTGGTCCCCTTTCATTTATGCTACTTGTCAGGCTCCCCCATGGGTCCTTAGGCTGTCCTTGAGTAGCTCTGCTCCGGGGCAGTGAGGAGGAAGGCTGGAAAAAGACCCAGCTTTCATTCCTCGATGGCACTTTTGGATATGAAATATAAACATGTCTCTCACTACTATGGAGGGCCAGAAAGTTTCTTGTATGTTCTCACTGAGGAGTGGATAGGTTCTCTTCTATCATCTCCCCTGCTTGAATTTCAAAGCCTTTTGTGGGCAGGGTGCCCACAAGGGTGCCTGGTCTTAGCCTCCCTGACTTTCTGGGCAGATGTTCCAAGTTATACTGCACTTGTGGTTTTCCTTTTGGGAGTTTCTCACTACTTTGTTCTTTTTCTCTCCCTCTTTTTAGCCTTGCATCATCAAGATTAAAAATTTTTTTGATGCAGAAGATTATTATATTGTTTTGGAATTGTAAGTAGTAAACTTTTTCTTTAAATTTATGTTCCCAGGTAAATGCTTATAAGCCACCAAAAATCTAATATAGATTTGCCTTTCTCATCCAGGGTGCCCTCAGCGTGCGTATGTGGTGGTGGGGCCTACAAAGTTTGTGTGTGTGTGTGTGTGTGGGGCGTTAATATCAATTCTAACTCCCCCCCAGTGTTTCCAAAAGCAGGTGGTATGGGATTCCAGGCCCTGGATCTGTGGCCTGACTTTGAGCTCCACTCTTCGTATGACTAGCTGACCACCCAAGGGATGAGTTTACTTTACCTCTCTGAGTCTTGTTTTCCTAGTGGTAAATGGGAATAATAATAATAACCCTTATGTGCAGAGTTTTTGTAAGAATTAAACGCTATGGGGGATGGAAAGCCCCCGGCAAAGCACCTACCACATGTCAGCACTCTCCAGAGGTTGATATTATAGTTGGCCCTCTGTATCTGCAGGTTCTGCTGTGAGTTCAACCAACCTTGGAACGAAAATACTCAGAAAAATAAAATGGATGGTTTACCATCTGTACTGAACATGTATAGACTTGTTTTTCTTATATCCTAAACAATACAGTATACCAATTATTTACATAGCATTTACATTGTATTAGGTATTATAAGTAATCTAGAGATGATTTAAAGTATAAAGAAGGATATGCATAGGTTATATGCAAATACTAATCCATTTTATGTAAGGGGCTTGAGCATCCATGGGTTTTGTTATCCTAGAGGGGTTCTCGAACCAATCACCCCTGAGTACTGAGGGATGACTATTCTCTGGAATAGTCTGGGTGGACCTTTCTGATCAGGATCACAGGACCAGCTTGTGTGATGGTGCCTGAGTATCTTTCAGTGTCTGGTTAGTTAAATTCAATGGCCATAATGTCCTGTGTTATTTGGTGTGGTCAGGATAATTTCCTGTCTCATTCCTGGAAGAAACCTGGCTTTGTGTCTGTTCCTGCATACATATGCAGTGGTTCTGGGAGTACCTGTTGTGGCAAGCAGGGAATGCTTTGCTCCTGACTAGCAAACAGTGGATGTACAGACTAACCATTAAGACTATGTCATAGGCCGGGCATGGTGGCTCAGGCCTGTAATCATAGCACTTTGGGAGGCCGAGGCAGGCGGATTGCTCAAGGTCAGGAGTTCAAAACCAGCCTGAGCAAGATCAAGACCCTGTCTCTACTAAAAATAGAAAGAAATTAATTGACCAACTAAAAATATATAGAGAAAAAATTAACCGGGCATGGTGGCGCATGCCTGCAGTCCCACCTACTCGGGAGGCTGAGACAGTAGGATCGGTTGAGCCCAGGAGATTGAGGTTGCTGTGAGCTAGGCTGATGCCACAGCACTCACTCTAGCCTGGGCAACTAAGTGAGACACTGTCTCAAAGAAAAAAAGACTATGTCATAAACAGCAGCCCCAGTCATAGCACCTGGAGAGACTTTTATGACTCTGCTGGTTGGTGCTTACGGGAATATCTGTTGTTATCAAATAGGAGATTGTTACCTGGTTGGATCCAGTTAACACAATTTAATAAAAGTGATAATAATAATATAGTAACGGTAGGTGATACTTATTAAGCAGTGACTGTGATTCAAGTACTCTTATGAGCACTTTACAAGAATTGACTCATTTTTCACAACAGTTGTACAACTGATTACTTACAGGTCACAGTTGGGTTACTATTTTTAGCCTCACATTAATGAAATGGAAACTGAATCACAGAGGGATTGAATAACCTTGTTGAGCACCTGTGCCAGGTGCTTTACTTACATCAATTCTCTCTTAATTTTTACGACAACTGTCAAGGTAGGCGGCATCATCCCCATTTTTTAAATGGTAGAAACAAACTCAAAGAGGTTAAATAGCTTGCCCAAATCACACAGCTGGGACGTGGTGGAACTGGAGTCCAGACCCTGATTCTCTGATTGTAAACTCCTGTTTTCTCTTCTACATCAGTCTCAGAGTCACGTGGGACATGTGATAAACTTGCAGAATCAGATTTTAAAAAGTTTTCCAAGTATCTCCAATGCACACTTATTTTATCTTGTTCCTTAGTTTATAACTGAGACATCTGATTGGAGATGAGCCTTATTACCTCACTAGCTTTAAAAATGGGATTCAGAGTAAATAAAAATGGCAACCATTTGCTTGTCTTAATGAGTTTGTTTTTATCTTCTGTCCAAGTGAGCTTCCCTCCAGGAATGAACCCCCTGCTTTGCTTGTGTGTTTCAGGATGGAAGGAGGAGAGCTGTTTGACAAGGTGGTGGGGAATAAACGCCTGAAAGAAGCTACCTGCAAGCTCTATTTTTACCAGATGCTCTTGGCTGTGCAGGTAAGAGAAGCTCTCAATTCTTTTGACAATCTACTTTCTTTTAGGTGTATTACTAGGCAGAAACTGAGGGACTGGATTAAAACTCAGAAGAGAACCCATGTGTTGTTCTGTTCTTGGCAAAAACATCCTACCCCTTTGACTCGGATGATAAAGCTCTCATGGTGAAGTTTAAGAGACAGTAGGAAAGGGAATTAAAGAGATGAATACTCGTTCCTATGTCTCCTCTCTTTAGCTTGGAGGTATTTCTGGAGGGACTTCTAGGTCTGCTCTAGGTTGATTTCTAGGTCTGCTCGGTGCTTGCAGAAATCCTGCTTAACTCCCTGAGTGGGAACCGGGCAGGTATAAGGGGAAGGCTGGCAAGTTGGGGTCATTATGACAGATGGGTTGCTCCCCTATAGCTTAGTACTAGGTGTTCCTTTGAGGTGCAATGCAACATCTTGCTAACTGCGGCAGCAGGTCAAGGAAGGTCAGTGGGACATGTATGTAGCTTTCTATATTCAATGAAAGTGTTGGATGGAGGAATAGCTGGTGGCACTTTGCTTTGAGGAACATCACCATTTCTCAGACCAAATTTGGTTGCGACCATTTCCTGCCAAGGTTTCTTCTCTTGAAAACCCACTCCATTTGGGAAATGCAGCCACAGGGAGCGATTCTTGTATTGAGTGAGGATTGAGAGAGGTTTGTCTATGGTTGATCCACCTGGGTGTGAAACCCTGGAGGTTTCACCAGATCCATTTCTCAGTGGAAATTTTTGGGAAGAATTTCTGCTGTAGCCCAGAGGGACATCCAGAGAGGGTTGAAGCCCTTGAACATAAGTCCTTTTTAATGGTGGCTGTCCCTACCTCGTGTTCTACCTCCTTATTGGTTTATTCCCTCACTTATAGTGACCAAGAATATTAAGATAAATTGAGTGCAGATCAGTGGGTATGGGAATTTTTATTTCTAAAATATGACATACACATAGGTATACAGTAATAGGGTATTGGGCAGGTGGAGGGGGGAGGAGGCGGTATATACATATATAATGAGTGAGATGTGCACCATCTGGGGAGGTCATGCTGGAGACTCAGACTTGTAGGGGAGGGAAGGAAATGGGCATTTATTAAAACCTTAAATCTGTATCCCATAATATGCCTGAAAAAAAAAAAAAAACAAACATTAATAGTGACATAGTAAGCAGCATTGTGCTCAGCAAGGTAGCCCATATCAATGTTTGCACAATGTTTGCACAACTCTACATACCATGTAATTATTTATCCTTGTTTTTTTAAAAAGCAAAAAGAAAATATGACATAGTATGGTGATTTCTTCTGTTCACTTTATAGTACTAGACAATAGATTTCAAAGACTTAAGTTTTTACATTAAGTTAACTTTGAATATTTAAACAGATAATTTTAAAAGTATTTTTAGAGATTCCCTTTAAAAATATTCTCAGGGCTATAATAACCAAATATACCATTTTGGTGGAAGTTTTATGTTTACTTTGAAAAAAGTTAAAAAAAATTAAAAAATGTTTACTTTGTGTTCTCAAAATATTATATTACCTATTTAATTTTTATTGCCATCTACACCTTATATTTCTACCAACATGTGAAGGGTTATATATTGAAAAGTGAAATCAAGGCCTGGGCGTGGTGCTCACACCTGTAATCCTAGCATTCTGGGAGGCTGAGGCGGTGGATTGTTTGAGCTCAGGAGTTCGGGACCAGCCTGAGCAAGAGTGAGACCCCCCCCCATCTCTACTAAAAAGAATAGAAAGAAATTAGCTGGACAACTAAAAATATATAGAAAAATTAACTGGTATCGTGGCGCGTGCTATAGTCCTAGCTACTCGGAGCTGAGGCAGGAGGATCACCAAATAAGTTTACTGTTCTAAATTGCTTTTTTGGTTTTTCTGCTTTTTAAGTCTTAAACAAATTTGTAAACACTAACCCCTTTACCCAGTAGTTTTCTGATTTGAGGAATATGGTTGTGCATAACATGGCTTACAGTTTCACCAGCTGTGAAATGTGTGTGTGTGTTGATGACTGTCTCTTTTATGTACTACTGCATAAATCCAAGGGTCATGCCTCCCTTTCTGTGTAGTACCTTCATGAAAATGGCATTATACATCGGACTTAAAGCCAGAGAATGTCTTCTGTCGTCTCAAAAAGAACTGCCTGATAAAGGTAAGAAATTATGCTCTGTATGTGGCCACTGCAGATTTCTTTTCAGAAGCTATTTTAATTCCTCAAGTAAAAAGTGGAAACATAAAAAAGTTGAGAATTTGACCTTTCTACTCTTAACCAATTATTTGAGATCAGGTGTTATTGCTATTAACCAGATTATAATGAGCTCCATTGTGTACAAGTCACTTTTGTTCTGCGGGGCGGGTCTAAATGGACAAGTGAATCACATTTACTGCCTTTCCCTGTTCTCAACCTGGCTTCACTTCAGAATCTCCTGTTAGGATTTAAAAATATGGTGACACCCAGGCTGGGCATGGTGGTTTACACCTGTAATCGTAGCACTTTGGAAGGCTAAGGTGGCAGGATCTCTTGAAACCTGGAGTTGGAGACCAGACTGGGCAACACAGTGACACGTCTCTACAAAAAAAAAAAAAAATTTTTTTAAATTAGCCAGGCATGGTGGAGCGTGCCTATAGTCCCAGCTACTTGGGAGGCTGAGGTAGGAGGATCTCTGGAGCCCAGGAGTTTGAGATTGTTGTGAACTATGATCACACCACTGCACTGCAGCCTGGGTGACAGAGTGAGATCCTGTCTCTTAAAAAACAAAACAAAACAAAAAAACCACTATGACCCCCAGGGTGTACCTCAGAAGTTAAGGGTGGCATCCAGGTGTAAGTATCTTTTCCCAAACTTCCCAGTTATTCCATGGTGCAGCCCAGTTTGAGAAGCTGGGGTCTAAGAAGAATCATGTATAACTAATAAGAATTCCAAAGTGTCTGTAATAAGGGTTATAAGCTTTTTGTAAGATTACAGAACACAGGTAAGTTGGCAAACCTGAGTCTTGAGGTCCCTAGGCTCAGGAATTTTAATTTAAGCAAAATTAAATACCTTAACTTGCAAAGACTTGAATTTGTAGATTGCAGATTAACGGCAGTTGTGTGTTAATTATATACTAGAAACTGATCTTATTCTCTTGCAATGGGTTAAAAAAAGAAAAGGAAAAGAAACTGATCTAGCCTACATTTTTTAGAACTGGCAGACTATGTTAATCTTTTTATTTTATAACATTGTTAAAAAATTATTCCCTTTTGTCCTTAATTTTAGATTACTGATTTCGGGCAGTCCAAGATTTTGGGGGAGACCTCTCTCATGAGAACCTTATGTGGTACCCCCACCTACTTGGCTCCTGAGGTTCTTGTATCCGTTGGTACTGCTGGGTATAACCGTGCTGTAGACTGCTGGAGTTTAGGAGTTATTCTTTTTATCTGGTAAGAGAAGTTTTCATTGCTTCACAGTCTGGTTGGATGTGATTAGGTGAAATCAAAATGTGTCAGGTAGAGAGCTTGTATTTAATTTAGGTCACTTTTGAACCATCGATTTAAAGAAAAATCTGATTTTTCATTATGCTGAAAAAGAAATCTGTATATCCGAATGCACTGAGAATGCCACTTGATTTCTTTTCCTTTCTCTCTCTACCGATATTAAGCCTTAGTGGGTATCCACCTTTCTCTGAGCATAAGACTCAAGTGTCCCTGAAGGATCAGATCACCAGTGGAAAATACAACTTCATTCCCGAAGTCTGGGCAGATGTCTCAGAGAAGGGTATGAATATGAAAGGGTTAAGAATTTGTGGTTTGCTAAAATGTGTATGTGCTGTGGTGGGAGTTTCTTTTCAAAATTCCACGGTATTTTCTCCTGTCAATTCTGTTCTTATTTTCTATTGTTAGTTTCGCACCATTTAAGAGGCAGAGGAAATTATTAAGAGCATGCACTGAAGTCCTTGGTCTGCTACTTCTTAGCTCTGTGACCTTAGGCAAGTTATTTAACTTGGTTCCCATTTTCTTTACTTGTAAAGGGGGCCTCAATAACCCCTACCTTAAAGGTTTTTTGTGAGGGTCAAGTATAATGTACTCAAGTGCTTGATATCTATTTAAATGTGTAAAGTAATAAGTAAATTTTTCATTACAAAGTTTCCTTTGAGTAAGTAAGCATGTAAAAAGCAAAATGTCATTAGTTACCTTGTATTTTATAATTTAAAAGTGCAACTTTTTAGTTCCCTGAAGAAAAAATAAGAAGGTTAAATGTTATGATTAAATGTCAGATAATGTAACTGTAGGTGATTATACTAAATGTCAGAATACTTAAGCAATAATACTGTTGCAGTATACAAGCCAGCCTGCAGTTGTTGCTTGCTGAAGTATTCATTTTATTTCCGACAAGTCTGTAGTTCCAGGGAGCCTCTTTCTGGATGAATAATTCTAACCATTAATCCATGGGTCTCAGGAAGAGTTTTCTGTGAATTCTGAGTACCTTAGACCTGGGTGGAAGTTCAGATTTAATTAGTTTGAACTTATAACAACCAAATATACCATTTTGGTGGAAGTTTTATGTTTACTTTGAAAAAAAGTTAAAAAAAATGTAAAAATGTTTGCTTTGTGTTCTCAAAATATAAGTCCTAGCTATAAGAGAGGTAACAGGGAGCTGAGAGATTGTGACATCAGCAGGAAGAGATGGGGAATATCATTGTCATTCCTGGCATTCTCAGAGTACTCAGAATGGAGAGAGTGAGGAGGTTTAGAGGGCACTGCCCACTATGTCTGCTGACTCCCTGATCTCGGGCCTTCTTTCCTCTTTCTGGATGGTGGTCTGTACTTCTAGCATGCTATAATACTGCCGACTTAATATATTTATTTTTTTTACTGTGATTTGCCCAATTGTCTTGCTGTTTTAGCTTTGGACCTTGTCAAGAAGTTGTTGGTAGTGGATCCAAAGGCGCGTTATACAACAGAAGAAGCTTTAAGACACCCGTGGCTTCAGGTGGGTGTGGGGCAGTGCCTGCTACGGTAACCTACTTGGAGAGCCCTGTTGCCAAATAGACATGAGGAAGAGGACAGATACATGTCTGCTTTGTTTGGGTCTGTTTAATTGTTTTAGATCGTGCTTTAGGTGTGTGGAGTGTGTGTGTGTGTGTGTGTGTGTGTGTGTGTGTGTGTGTGTGTGTGTGTAGGGGTGGGACGAAGGGGATAAGGGGGTATGTATAGGGGTTTGTTTGCAGAGGGGATAGCCTTTTTGACATTACTCATGGCTCTTGGTATAAGCTCACTTTAGGCCTGTTCAGATTGCACTTGGATGCCTTGAGTCTGCAGTTTGGCCTGTGTTCTTTGAGAGGCTGTTCTGGCTCCACCCCCCAGCCTTGTTCCCCTTCTACCCCACAGATGGGGTGAGCTACATTCCAGCCATCTTCAACCTTAAATCAGGGAAGCTGTGGGGGAGGTGGAGGAGGACAGTGTCCCTGGAGAGAATCCAGCTTTTTCTCTAGCCCAAGTGAATGGGTATAAAGGGTCCCACTTATTGTTCATTGTGAGTAACCATGCCATCAGTGTAGGCATTCTTCAAGTCTGCATTACCTTCAGCAAGCCATACCCCTTTCTATTAACTCTCTTTTGGTCTCTCTGTTTCCTGTGGGTAGCTTGAGCTAGAGACTGTTACTTGAGCTAGAGGCTGTGCCTTGGGGGATTACTGGTCCAGGAATTCCTTGGACAACCCAGCTTTAGTTCTCTATTTCTGGGATTCTGGAAGGACTGTCCCCACTGTTCCAACTGTCCACACCTAACAGTTTTGCTCAGGCCAGCTCAGATTGAGAACAACAAATTCTTAAAAGAAAAAAGGCAGATATATATGTTTTGGATGTTGCTCTGGAAACTGCAGTTCTCCCAGAAGAAATCTGTCAGATGATTTAGCATTTAATAGACCACACAGATTTGAACAGCAGGACCCTGGAGAAAAGGAGTTTGGAAACAAAGGGTGCCTTTGCATGTGGGGATTTAATTTTGATGAAAAAGAGAAACATGGCTTTTTGCTCTTTTCATGTGTCCTAATAGGGGAACTTTTAGATCTAAATGCAGATTTTTTTTTTTTGAGACAGAGTCTCACTCTGTTGCCCAGACTAGAGTGCCATGGCGTCAGCCTAGCTCACAGCAACCTCAAACTCCTGGGCTCAAACAATCCTTCTGCCTCAGCCTCCCAAGTTAGCTGGGACCACAGGCATGTGCCACCATGCCCGGCTAATGTTTTCTATATATTTTTAGTTGGCCAATTAATTTCTTTCTATTTTTAGCAGAGATGGGGGCTCACTCTTGCTCAGGCTGGTTTCAAACTCCTGACCACCTTGAGTGATCCTCCCAACCTCGGCCTCCCAGAGTACTAGGATTACAGGCGTGAGCCACTGCGCCTGGCCTTAAGAGCTGTTAGTTTTAACAACAATAAAAAAAGGAGCTGGCCAGTTAGGCCTGGGAACAAGGCTTACATCGGCCTATCTGCCTGAAATTTACAAGTAAGCAAAGCCTTGTACTTTTTGTCTCAAAAGAAAATTGTTATTAACAACCAAGGGAAAAGGTGAAGTTCAGCTCTGCCCACAGGGGTTTTACTTGAATACTCTTTATGCACATTTTATTTTTGCAGCAAAAGATGGAGCAAATATTGAGGACAAGGATGCAGACTGCCCATCTAAAACATCTGTTAGTGATAATTTAGGTTTTATTTTAGGAAACTTCAGTGTTTTTCAACAAACTGAATGTTTTTGTGGGTATTACACTGCCCTGTGCATTGAATGTGGGTTCTGGTTTCTGTTTTATCATAAACAAAGCATCCAGTTTTGGGAGCATCCCTTCTGTCCACTTTCTGCTTCATGTTTATTACCTGAAATAGAGGAATTCCTCCTGTTTGCCTTCTAGGTTATACTATATAACAATTTTTTTCTTTTTTTTTCCGGCTCTTTGTGAACAAAATTTTAGTGCTTGTGAATAGGTTGTAGACCTCTCAAAGGAAGGATATTTACAAATAAAAATAAACATTGCTACCTATGGTAACAATGAGCTCCATCTTCATATTATTGCTAATTTATGACATGTTTTAAATATAGGTCTAAATAGACAGCACTGAAGGGCTGCCATGTGAAGGGCATTCCATCGTCGTTTCATTTGTTCATGCATTCATTTCTTCAGAGCACAGTTAATGAGCTTGTTGTCAAACACTGTTAGTCACTGGATGCAAAAAGGAATAGGATAAGTCCTTGCCGTGGGGATCTGACAGTCTAGGTCAGGGCCAGTCCTGACCAGTCACTACAGAGCAGTGTGATCTGTGTGGTAATGGGTTGGTGTGCAGAGTATAGTTCTAAACCAGGACCAGGCACGGCCACTGCCCTCAGGGTTCTGGGTACCCACATCTTCACATAGTGTGAGGAATGTCTTGAGGCTGAATGGCCTGGCAATAATGTGGGGATGAGTGGGTCAGCATTTTCTAATATTTGCTGAATCCCTCTGAAATGGAGACCCTGTGCCTATTAGAGTACCTGGCATCTAAGGGTGCTCAGGAAATATTTGTTCACTGAATGAGGAAGGTGGGTGAGGAGATGGGCAGGAATGCAAGGAGGGCATTCCTGGTGGAGATCCTAAGGCCATGAGAGAGTGTGAAGTGGAATACAGGTGAGTATGGTGCTATCAAAGTGGCAGAGTATTAATAACTCTGTAAAATAGTGATGGAAGCAGGTGGTAATTATAGTTACTAGATAGAGAATAGTTGAGCCTGTTATTATATTAGTTCTCTAGTGCTGCAGTCCCTGATTTCTGGACTGTAGAACTTGGAACTTCCCTTCCATCTTCCATGAAAACTGTCTTCCATGAAACTTAGGAATGGGGGTCTGTACAGCAGAAGATGAGCAGCTGGTGAGAGAGGGAAACTTTATATTTACAGCCGCTCCTCATTGCTCACATCACTGCCTGAGCTCTGCCTCCCCCACCTCCTCCATCCCTGTCTGTGGAAAAATTGTCTTCCATGCAATCAGTCCCTGGTGCTAAAAGATTGGGGGCCTGCTCTAGTACTATAAATTTCTATATCCATCAGATTGCTGAATGTTGGAGTCCTTTGCTCCTGTGTCTTCTGCCCTTGACTGCTTGCCTTAGTGGGAGTCGGGGGGTGGGGTTGGGTGGGAAAGTACATGATGAGGCTTTGGAATCAGACAGCTCTGGGTCTGTGTCCTGCACAGACCACTGTGAGTGGCTGAGCTAGGCTTCTGGACAGCCCCACAGCCCACATTCCTAGTCCTAATGTTTCTTTCACCTTTCTGAAGGTGTGGAGTGCCGTACCAGGCCACCTCTCAGGGCTCCCAAGTGCAAATCCTTGAACCTTGCAGAAGTGAGCATCCAGGGAGGTGGGAGCTACCCTCATACACATCTGGGCAGGAGTTCTCTGTGCTCGCCCCTTCTCCTCTTCCTGTAGCATGAAACACTTGTAATGCTATGTTCTGTTCATTGTCTTTCTTTCTCGTTAGACCTGAGCTCTGGGATATTGTGGGCTTGAAGTCCTTCAGGTAACTTGTACAGCATCTGCTAGGCGAATTTTCCTAGGGTGCTGGGCTGGTTGTTAGGATGGCCTGGGTAATTGGCCTCATTGTTGGCAGGGGTCGGGGAGTGGGAGGTCATGGTCCCCAAAAGGATTTGGGGAGCTGCATGGAGTCAGGCCCAACCTCTGGCCTCCTGATTGCCATTTTTTAAAATTAATTAATTTTTTTATTTTAAAAAATTTTTTCCCTCCTTCCCTCTTAAATTAATTTTTTTTAGAGACAGGGTCTTGCTGTGTTGTCCAGGCTGGAGCACAGTGGCTATTCATAAGTGTGATCATAGTGCACAGCAGCTTTGGACTTCTGGGCTCAATTAATCCTCCTGCGTCAGCCTCCTGAGTAGCTGGGACTACAGGTGTGTGCCATTGCACCTGGCTCCCAATTGCCATCTTTCTCAGGATACAGGGTGCTGGTTCTGAAAGTCTTTTGAGCACTAGGGACTATGGTTCTCTCATCCACTGAGAGCTCTAAGGTAACATGGGTTTGATTCAACCAGTGTTGATGGAGCACTTACTGCTGATTACTCTGGGAAGGCAGAGGGGAGTAGCACACGGTCCTTTTGCTCTGGGAGCTTCAGTAAGGGGATGATATGATCCTTGGTGGACAGACTAGATGTCTATGCTTGCTTCCCTTATTCCAGGGGTATCTTAGCCCTGTTATCCTAGGGGCTTTTTTTATTCAGACACAGCCTACTTAATGTTTTTAATTTCTTCACAGGATGAGGACATGAAGAGAAAATTTCAGGATCTGCTGTCTGAGGAAAATAAATCCTCAATTTTACCCCAGGTTCCAGCTGAGGTATTGTATTCCTTGTGATCATTAAATGTAGGTTGGGTTTAAAGAGCTGGCGAATGAGGATGATGAGTTTGAAGATTTTCCTGAGTAGCAATTGCTGAACAATTTTTTAGCTCTAATGTAGTAGATACTTTTTTTTTTTTTTTTTTTTTGAGACAAAGTCTCACTCTCTTGTCCAGGGTAGAGTGCAGTGGCATCATCACAGCTCACTGCAATCTCAAACTCCTAGGTTCGAGTGATCTTACTGCCTCAGTCTCCCAAGTACCTGGGACTACAGGTTAGCGCCACCACTCCCAGCTAATTTTTTCTGTTTTTGGTAGGGATGGGGTCTCGCTCTTGTTCAGGCTGGTCTCAAACTCCTGACCTCATGGGATCCTCCTGCCTCAGCTTCTCAGAGTGCTAGGATTACAGGCCTAAGCCACTGTGCCCAGGCCTAAAGTAGATACTTTGTTTTAACTTGATCTCTTCCAGTACCCTTAGAAGACCTAATAGTGTTGGGTATGTTTAGTATATTAGATAAGCATAGTTAGGGATTGTTATTCAAAAAGTTTCCTGCAAGGCAAGTTTGTAAGACTCTATTAGAGGCTCAGATTTAAATTTGTTGGAAAAATTAAAGTTTGGGTGAGTGGTTGATTACTTGATTATAATTTTATTCTTTTAAATTTCTTTTTAAGTATAACTTAATATGTGTTTATTCCTGCCCTGCTTTCTTTTGGTGAATGATCTCTCTTCTTTTTCCCACTGCTCCCTCTCAATTTTATAAATGGGAAAACAAATAAGGCACAAAAAAGATTGTCTTCCCACACAAGAGCAAGACTTGGGGCTCCAAATGAAAGCTATCATGGCCCTCTTAAACCTGATTATTTAGGAGAAGATTATCAAGAGGAGGAGGCTGGCTATGCTGTTTGTTTTCTACAAACATCATTTAGTGGGCAGAAGCCACAAGGGAGAGAAATATCAATTAGATAAATCTGTCTGAGTTGGGGGTGTAGTGGAGAGTCAGTGTCAATGAATTAAGTTTTAAATGAAATACTCCCATATTACTAGAAGCATGTTTGGAAACTTTGATGATTTTAAAGAAGCCAATGCTTTTCTTTTGAACATTTCTCTATTTTCCCTCCTTTATTTCCAGCCTTCCACTAGTCGAAAGCGGGCCCCCGAAGGGGAAGCAGAGGATGCCGAGACCACAAAGCGCCAGGCTGTGTGTGCTGCTGTGTCTTGATCATTGTGGTTTGAACTTGAAAGAAATCTACCTTCTTTCAGTCTGTTGACGTCTTTTCTTTAAGTTTTTTTAAAATAGTATTTTAATTATGGGAATAATTGTTTTTTCTACAATCATTGATGTACAATTAAAAACCTAATGGAACCTGGCCTTTGTGCATATGCTTGATAAACAGCAGTTTAGTTAAATGCCTTTTTTTTTAATGTTTGAATTTGTTGTGTGCTTTTCATCTGGAGCTACACCTTGGTTGTCACCAGGTAGGTTTCTCAGGATGTCACCTTGATCTTAGCCTATGAGAGCTGAATACAAATTCTAAAGGTCTCTTAGAAAGTTGCAGGGAAAGGGGCATCGTGAGTTTGGAGTGGAGTATGTACTGGCTGGCTGGCTGGCTGCCAATGTCCTTGTGAGGTGGCAGGTACCTTGGTGCATAATAACAGGCCAGTTTTAAGTTCTCATCCTCACCTTCTTAAAGATATAGGTCTACAGTTCCTTAAATCCTGGGGCTAGATAAGTTATAAAATTCAGTTTTCCAATTTTAGGAAGATGATAGGGTACATTTGCATATTATGTATAGTACCCCAGTGGAGTCCTGTAACCAAACATGTTTATATTTCTGCAGCAAATATTTAAGTAAGAGGGATAGAGAAAGATTGTAAGTAGCCTCATTTCACTTCATGTCAGTCTTTCTGCCACTTGAGGTATAGATGACCTGTTTTTCAGAACTATTTGGGTTTTGGAAATGGAGAAAAGGCATTGGTTGTGTCATGTTGACTCAGTAATGACCAGGGAAGCCCTGTGCAAAGCCTTACCCTGGGATAGTCTTGTCCTCATGGTGATCCTAGGAGTGAGGTCCTCCAACAACCCTGAGGTTACAGGTGAGGAACCCAGGTGTAGAGGAGGAAGGTCTCTTTTCCAGCGTCCCGTAGCTGGTAAAGCATTGTGGCATAGCTGGGACCCAATCCAGGTCTTTCTGACTCTAAAACATATTCCTTGTCTCCTCAGTCACACTCAGGTTGACTCACACTGACAAAATTCATAAGAGACTGATCTAAATCCTGAATATCAGTATGTTTAATTATACTTTGTTTTAACTTGATCTGTTCAGGGATTAGGATGATCCCTGAGCGAGGAATTGCCACTTGTCTGCCCATCAAGTGTGTTCAATCCCTGCAGGCTTGCTATAGGGACAGCCCCATGATTGGTGGAAGATGGGAACATCTTGGTGGCAAGGACCAGAAGACCACTCAACTTCATGGAAATGGAGATTTGTTTCAGGGTTACAGATGGCTGGGCCTGGGAGCCTTCAGGAATGCAGACAGTTCTAACGGCTGGCTTCTCTTGTCTCTTTCTGACCAAGTCTGCCTCTTTTGCTAGGTCACATTGTAGCTCACTGGCCATGCCATTAATTGAGCATCACACCACTGGTGATTTGGCCAGGGCAGGGTCAAGAGCACACAGCCTTTTCCCTAGGTAGTCAGGGTGGTGGCTGGCAATTTCCATTAGAAGGGAATACAGGCATTCTGAGGCTTGGCTGGCCTGGTGCAGGGGGGCTAGACAGGGATTTAGGTGGTTTGCATGTTTAAAGGAATGAGGCTGAGATTGCCAAGTTAGATGGGATTTAGCTAATTTGAATATTTAATGTAGAGGCTGTGGTGTCCTAGGGCATTTTCCCCATTTGAGGCAGGAGTTAGCCAGCCCTTCTATTTCCAGAGCACTTTGTATTAGCACCCTCTGTTTATAACTACCCTGGTAGGCTGAATGATGGCTCCCAAAAAGTGTCCTCATTCTAATCCCCAGAACCTGTGAATATATTCCTTTACATGGCAAAAGGGACTCTGTGGGTGTGATTAAGGATCTTGAGATGGGGAGATTATCTTGTTTTATCCCAGGAGCTCAGTGTCATCACAGTGCTTTTAAGAGGGACATAGGAGGAATCAGAGGAGATGGTGATGTGATGACCGAGTGTCTTAGTGATACTGGGTAATTTATAAAGATTTATTTCCTACAGTTCTAGAGGTTGGGAAGTCGAAGGTCAAGGGGCCCACATCTGGTGAGGGTCCTCTTCCTGTGTCATTCGATAGCAGAAGGCATCACATGGGTGAGAGAGAAAGGGGGCTGAACTCATCCTTTTATTTCTAATACTAATTAGGAACTCACTCTTGTGATAATACCATTAATAACCTAATCACCTCTTAAAGGTCCCACCTCAACACTGTTGCATTGGGGATTAAGTTTCCAATACATGAATTTCCGGGGATACTTTCAAATCATAGCACTGAGCATAGATTGGAGTGATGCACTTTGACATTGGAGGTGCATTCCATGGAATACTGGCAGCCACTAGAAGCTGAAAAAGGCAAGAAAATGGATTTTCCCTCAAATCTGAAAAAACCAGTCCTTTACAACTTGACTTTAGCTAAATGAAACCAATTTCGGGCTTCTGACCTATAAAACTGTAAGACTAAGTTGATGTTGTTTTAAGCCACCAGTCTGTGGTATTAATAATTTGGTATAACAGCCATAGGAAACTAATATATCTAGCAATGGGAGACAGCTGCTGATTTGGGGCCACCCAGTATCTACTTCCTCTCCTAACCTCACTTTAATTTTCTTTTGGAGGAATTCTTTTCCCTATCCCGTGAAGTCGTGAGGGGTGGGAAGGATGATAAAGCTAGTGTCTGCACCCTCACTATGGAAACTGAAGGGGTGGGTCCCTAGAAGCTCCCTTTGTAGTGCTCCTCCCACTGGTCACCTAGCTGGAGGTGGGTATAGGACTTTGAAATATGAGCAGATGGAGCTGGGGTGGCACATTAATGGTGGAAACAATATTGTGCTAACCTGAGCTCTGCACTTCCTAACTTTGGCTTTGGGTAAGGATCTTATATTGTTTACTTTTTAATTTTTATTATTATTATTATTATTTTTTTTTTTTTTTTGAGACAGAGTCTCGCTTTGTTGCCTAGGCTAGAGTGAGTGCCGTGGCGTCAGCCTAGCTCACAGCAACCTCAAACTCCTGGGCTCAAGCAATCCTTCTGCCTCAGCCTCTCGAGTAGCTGGGACTACAGGCATGTGCCACCGTACCCGGCTAATTTTTTCTATATATATTAGTTGGCCAATTAGTTTCTTTCTATTTACAGGCTGGTTTCGAACTCCCGACCTCGAGCAATCCGCCCGCCTCGGCCTCCCAGAGAGCTAGGATTACAGGCGTGAGCCACCGCGCCCGGCCTATTATTATTTTTTGAGACAGAGTCTTACTGTGTTGCTTGGGCTAGAGTGCCATGGTGTCAGCCTAGCTCACAGCAACCTCAAACTCCTGGGCTCAAGCAATCCTTCTGCCTCAGCCTCTCGAGTAGCTGGGACTACAGGCATGTGCCACCGTACCCGGCTAATTTTTTCTATATATATATCTTTAGTTGGCCAATTAATTTCTTTCTATTTTTAGTAGAGATGGGGTCTTTCGCTCTTGCTCAGGCTGGTTTCGAACTCCTGACCTTGAGCCATCCTCCCACTTGGCCTCCCAGAGTGCTAGGATTACAGGCGTGAGCCACTGTGCCCGGCCAGGATCTCATATTGTTTAGTCTTTGTTTCATAATCTATAAAATGGGTGTAGTAAGAGTACCAACCTTCTATGCTGTTTATGAGGATTCAAAGGAGGAGAGTCCATAAAGTGTCTGGCATGTGATAAGGGATTCATCAATGTCAGCTTCCATCATAAATGGTGGGAGAGCCACATAAGTAGCCAGAGGGAGTCATAGAAAGTTCTTGAGCCACGGCAGTAACATCTTTTCAGCTTTTTGGGGGATATGCAAGATGGATAATTAGGTTACTTTTGACCAAGCAGATTTGGGAAATGCCAGGGCTTGGGTGGGTGATGGGAGCAGACGTGGGGGGCATAACTGCCACTACCTTTTTCGGAGCAACCAAGTTGCTCCATGGTAGACCCATTGCATACCTACATGATGGTGCAGTGGATAGTTGTTTGTGCCAGCCCTGTACCCAGTGTGGTAATTGCATCCCTATTTTTGGGGGGGAAGCAGTCCATCTCTCACTTCCCCATTTTCTCTATGTCCTTCTGAGAGGATGGCCCCAACCCCTTCCTAGAGGGGCTCCATATAGCCAGGTGTGGCTAATCTAGCTGTGGTGATTGGCTCATGTAGGGGCATGTGGCTCTAATGGGTCCAATGAAAGTCAACCCTGGGAATTTGGCTGGAACCATTGAGAAACAGCCCTTGCTTTCTTGGGGGCAGATGTGAGTTAGGAATGGCTTCTTAGGCCACTATGTATGTGGAAAGAACTGCATGAGAGTGAAGTTATCACAGAAGGAAGCAATAGGTGAGGGATTAGAGAGACTGAGGTGGTTTGTGCGCTTGGGTGCAGATATGTCTAAAGTGAGGCACCAACCTAGGCCTTTTGAATTATGTGATCAGGGATCAGATATGTTCCCTTTTTTGTTTTATTTGAGAGGTTTTTTATCTGTGATCACTTGTATATGAAAAAGACCGGGCTAATATATGGAACCACTTACAAACTCTGAGAGACTTTTGAAGATTCTTCTTTTTTCTAGTAGGGAAAACATTCTCTGCTGTTTTTCTGCCAACTTTAGGGTTTTCAGAGAGGTTTGAGGGAGAGAATGGAAAGTGAAAATGTGGGAAGAATCCCTGCAGCCCCAGGGTTGGATGAACTCCTCCCAGCTAATTATACCACAGGGTTTGGGAGCAGATCCCCTTTCATTAAACTTTTAGGAGTCTTGGAAAGATAGGGCAGGAAGTACAGCAGTGAACCTCAGAGAGCTTGGTGTGTGCCAGGCATTGTGCTCTGGGACTTAGTCACTTGCTGAATAATGACATTTTGGTCAACAATAGACCCCATATAAGTCAGTGGCCCCATAAGGTTATATTAAATTCTTATCTTCCAAGGATGTAGCCATCATAATGTTGGTAGGGTAATGAATTACTCATGTGTTTGTGGTGATGCTGGTGTAGACAAGCCTACTGTGCCGCTGGCACTATAAAAGTATAGCGCATACAATTATGTACGGTACATAATACTTGATAATAAACAACTATGTTACTGGTTTATGTATTTACTGCATTATACTTTTTATTATTTTCTTGTACACTACTTATGAAAAAAAATTAACTATAAAAC